CTGCCGACTATAAAAATACCTCTCAATCGAATTATCCTCGTTCAGATTCAGAAAACGACACGCGCCACGAGAAAAAATGACATTATCATCAGAATTACCGGTAATACTCATTCCGGGAGTGCACTAGCCAGCACGTTGGCTCTCCGTGCTGAACGAGCGGACGACATTCTCGGCTAATTATAAAAAAAAAAGGAAGGGCGAGACGCGCGTCACAGCGGCGAGAAAACTCGGCACGAGCAGGGGAATCACAAAATCCCCCTGGTTCTCAGTTCTCCAGTGACGTCAGCCGGCGATGCACGGGCCCAACGCTGCACTGCCGTCCCGTCCAATAGCTGCGCTACGAGCCCCGTTGGGTCTCCCACGGCTCTCGTCTTGCACGCGCTATAAATCCCCACTAGCTTGTACAAACGGCGGACAGTCGCGTCGTGTCGTGCGTGCCCCGTTTCGTGTAAGGATGTAGTGTCGTTCGAAAATATCGCGGGGATCTTGTGTGCGCAAAATCATTGTTACGATCGGGATCGAGACCGACCACGTGTTCTCTGGGAGTCATCTCGATCACACGGACAGACTATTCCTACATAGTGAGAAGAAAGAGTAACCAGAGAGAAGAAGGGTGTCCGCATTCGAAACGCTCCTCTGGAGTTCCTCAGTGAAACGACTTTTTGTTTTCCTCCCTTCGGAGGCATTTTTACTCGCAAATACTGTGATATTGTGTGTCAAGTGCAATTTTCTTTGGATTTTCAGAATAAAGGTAAAATCTAGTTTTCACCCTCCGCGGAATTTCATCACTTCAAAGTCTGGTAATGACAGAGATAGATTGAAAATATCTGTTTGACGTCATGTTCAGATAAAGTATAGTAGGTTTCTATGTTTGCCAGCGTGAACAGTTAGAAAATACAAACCGTCGGAGTTCGTTACTATCTACGGGGACTCTCTCGTAAATCGTCTAACTGACACGCAGGTATCTGGAGAATTCTAAGTCGGTGTGAGAACGTGGTGTAAAAAGTTCGATACCTTCTGGCTCGATCTTCCAGATTCTTGCAGTTTGGACCATTGATTCTGACCTTAATTACGTGATTATGACGAGCTTTCGTAATTACAATTACCAAACGTCGTTAAAAGTCGCGGTGAAAATGATCGTGAATAAAACGATTCATGTGCAACGGATTAATTAAGAAACCCTTGGTCTCCATTTCTTAATACTTCAATCTCTCAATGTAATAATAGTGATAATAATTGCCAAATAGGTCTCAGTGTTCCAAAGCTTGTATTTATGAGACTTTCTAAGCGAGAAGAAAGGCCTGCAGCCGCAGGTGAAACTGAGCCCCACTTCGTTTTATCACTCGTTGAATACAAATCACGGAAGGAATCGCGTATGCAGAATCATACATCTGTGCTGGCCGCGTACCTATTAATTACTTTGTTCTCGTATATGTAACAGGTGTTCAAGGTTTGATGCTTTTGTGTAAACCGGTTATCGAGAAACGTTACACGCGTACACGCGTGTCAGCCCCCGTTGCTTAATATGCAGCCTTTAACGGAAGCCGAAGCGGTCAATAATCGTACGAAGATCATTCGAACCAAGGATTATCATTGACCTCTTCAGGAACTTTAGCACATTCGTCTATGTTCAATTATTTTTAAATTAAAATTAATCAAATTGAGAAAAATAAAAAATAATTAAATCGATTTGTTTTTCACATTGAAAAGTTCGTCCTTGAAGAAAATGAGATCCTTGCGTTTTTGCAAGTAATCAGTAGTTAAAAATGAATTTTTAACGATCGTTGAATGGTTTATGAAATCCGTGAGAATGGATTATCGATCTCCTCTTGCTATTTAATTAATTAGCGCCAATCGTTGCACCTCGTAACGATAATGAACATGCACGCTGGCCGAAAAACGACCGTTTCTCTTTGCTGGTAAAAACGTCTGTTAGAGGACAAAGGAAAAACCGTTTAATTGGCGAGAAATTAGAAACTCAATTATCGTACGAACCGGAGCTTTCGCGTTTCTGTTTCGTCCTGGGAGCGGTGATTATTAATTTACCATTTACGACGACGGCCTTCGTGCCGCGCTGGTATCCGCTAACGACCAGACCGCGGGTGTTTATGCAGATTCGTTTGGTTGTAAGCTTCAGGAAATGGAAATCGTATTTTACATCATTCTTTACACCTGTTGGTGTTCCGTTTAATTGAAATAATTTCTACTTGTACGATCTTTTCTTTATGCACAGATATCACAGTTAATTAACAGCATGTCTGTTTGTATAAAATTATTTGTAAAAAAAAATGATGTGATTCTATAATCTGTTCGGATCACATCGGAGTGTAAATGACTTAGACATTATTTAGAACGTTCAGGTGACAGTAATAATCGACGGCGTATCCTCCGTTTTGTAACAACCTTGTAAAAATGATCAAGGACCTTTCTTTTTTCCTTCCTCTCCTTCCAGCAAATTTTTTCACACTCACCTTGAATCCAACTTCTATTTTATATTGATGAATAAGAAAAGAAGTGACTGTAATGAACATTCAGGAAATTCGTCTCGAATTAAGCGATAAGATAGGCGAGGAACGTGGCGTCCAAAGAAATACTGAAATGAAACGTAGTCTAACAATGGAGCGTCATTCCTTAATAGAAAGATCGATACGAGGTAAACGTGATGTAACAAATTATGAAATTGATCACGTTTTTAGAGTTCCACTTTAAAGAATGTGTTTACAACAATAGCTTGTTTTATCAATCACATTCAGTTTCCTCATAAATGAATAAAATCTGTAGTCTCTTGTAGAGACAACAGGAAAATGAAATTCTTGAAGAGCACTTCACCTTCGATTTATGATGGAAAGATCGACAGATGTAAACGTAACGTAATCTAAACGTGATGTAACAAATTAAGAAGATAAAATATTTCTGGTTCCACTTCAAGTAATGTACTTAAAACGACAGACTGCTTTACCATTTAGGTATAGCAATGTGAACTCTACTTTTGATATTTTCTACATTTTTAGATATTACGTACAGTGTTTATATTTTTGTCATATTCAATTTTCTCATAAATGCATAAAATCTGTCTAATCATGGCAATAGTAAAATAACGAAACTCTTGCTTATCAGATAAGATCTTATCCTAATTTGTTACGTAGTCAAAGAGCCTTTTATTACTAGCAATAAATTATAAGCGTGCAAACGAGTTCGTTAATTCGTCGCACAGAAAGGTTTAGTCGAGACGCCTTGAACTGTTCGCGTAACGCTCCTGTAACGTGTATTAAGTAATCGGGTGAACGTGCTGATTCGCAGAGAGACCGAGATAATGACAGTGAAAGCGGAGGAGGGCGAACGTCCGAAGATCGAGACCTTCGACGACATTCTGCCGCACGTCGGCGAGGCCGGCCGCTATCAATGGTTCCTTTTCATCGTTCTACTGCCCTTCACCTTCGTCTACGCGTTCCTGTACTTCACCCAGTTCTTCATCACCCTGGTGCCGGCCGAGCACTGGTGCAAAGTGCCGGAACTCGACAAATGGAACCTCACCATTGATGAAACGTGAGCTACTTCTTATTCTATTATATTAAAAAAATTTCTATTCTATTAAAACATTGTATCACGTGTACAAGCTGATT